ACACCCACTCTCCTCCAGGGGCTCCGCCCGGAGCCTGATTCCTAGGGCACCTGGCACCCGCGTCTGTCCTGACGGTCCCACTTCACTGACAAGGGTGGAGGGATGGTCAGATCAAGGCCCTGTCCTCCTGGACTCCATGTTGCTTTGACAGTTGGTCTGATTTCCAAAGTGACCTTTCCTCTGAAGTCTACCAGGGGCTCGGACGTCTAGGCTCTGCGGTCTGCAATCAAGTCTGCATCAGACTCTCCCTCTGGGCCAGGGCTGCTGACCTCTGTGGCCGGGGTGCAGGTGGCCCTCAGGCTCCTTGCTGTTGCTGGTGTGGGGCTGTGGGGGTGGGTGGCCGTGGGTGGGAGGTGGTGGCATCCGGCAGAGCAGGGCTGGACGGGGCTGGGTGGGCCTGCTGGACCCGAGGCCGGAGCCCAGCCGGGGGGCAGAGCTGGGAGCCTGCTGCCCGCGGTATTCCCCAGCTGTTTCCTATTGATCGTGTCTGGTCAGTTTTCGCTGCTGTGACCAAAAGACCTGACAAGAACAGTTGTGGAGGAGGAAAGGCCCATTTCGGGGCTCAGGGTTTCAGAAGTCTCCGTCCACAGACAGCAGGCTCCATTCCTTGGGGCTCAAGATGAGGGGGACATCGTGCCGCAGAGTGAGGTGGAGGGAGGGGGCTCACGTGATGATCAGAGCAGAGAGAGGCTCCGCTCGCCAGAACAGATCTGTACCCCGTGGCCCCCCAGGGCCCTCCTCCTGCAGCCACACCCCCTGCCTCCAGTGACCACTCAGCGAGTCCCACCAAGGACCCATCACTGGGGGGGTCAGGCTCAGTCATTTCTCCCCAGACCCTCGCACGTGTTTCACATCAAACCATAACAGATTGATTGTTTGATCATTGATACTCGGAAGTAAACCTCGGGGTACTGTACCCTGAGCCATGTCCCTCCCCCTGGCCCTTTTCAGTTCTGAGTCAGGGCCTCACTAAGTTGCTGAGGCTGGCTTTGAACTCGCAATCCTGCCTCAGCCTCCAGAGCGGCTGGGATCACAGGTGTGGGCCACGGCGCCCGGATGCCATCTGTTTTAGTCGACTTCTTCATCACTGTGACCCAAAGGCCCAGGAGAGCCCTGGGAAGAGGGAGACTCATCTTGGCTTAGAGTCAGAGGTCGTCCATGGTCGGCTGACTCCACGGCCTTGGGCCTGACCTCGTGGCAGAGGGTGTGGTGGGGGACAGCAGCTCAGGACATGGCAACAGGGGACAGAGCTCTCTGCCCATCAGGGACAAAATACAAACCCCAGAGCACACCCCAGGGACTCTCCTGCCTGCAGCGCCCACCCAGCAGGTCCTATGGGGTAACCCGGGCGCCCCGCCCTGCCGCCTGCCCGGTCTTGCACGGGCTTCCGGGCAGTCCACAGCAGCACCGCACCCGTCACGCTGCGTGGCCTTCATGGCCAGCGCTTGTCTAGCAGGGCCTCGCTGCCTGTACTCTGCCGCAGCGACTTTCCTCTGAACCTCAGCTGGCCACGTCCATCCTCCCTGCACTGTGGTTCACGTCCTCAGGGGGAGGCTGGCCCTGCAGGAGGCCTCCCCAGGGTGAGCACTGTCCCCTCCCAAGGGGGATGGTGGCAGGAGAACCCCTCCCAGGACTTGGCCCGCCCATGGCTCTGAAGACAAGCGGACCTGGAGGAGCAGCTGCTGGGTTCTCGGACCACAGACCCACCTCCCCTGGGACGGGGGTCATTCTCCACCACACTTCTCACGGGGGCCCAGTCGGCACTCCCCAGATGAAGACAGGACCACTGGAAGACTGTCCAGGAGGCGGCCAGCAGGGGCACCTCCACAGCCACCCCAGGGGCCCAGGGTGTGGGAGCTCCCTGCGGATGTACCCAAGGGGCAGGGCAGCAGGGACGTCTGACCCTTGGAGTTGGCACAGTGCTGACCAGAATTCCACAAAAGGCCACGACCCTCGGCTCCTGGCATCGCTGGCTGATGGAGGTGGCCGGGGCGGGTACCAGGACAAGGTCACTCCCTAATCCTGCCGCGCGGCCGCCTCCTCTTTAGCAGCCCTCTTGTTGAAGGATGGCTGGAGGGAGATAAAGCAGGCCCAGAGCCATCCCAAGGGTGCCAACTGCGGGAGTCCCAGCCCACCTATGGACAGAGTCAGGAGGGGCAGAGCCCTCTCTTGAGATGCCAGGCCTGGCCAGCTGTACCGGACCACGGCTGCCCTCCCGGGGTGCGGCCTCTGTGCCGCCCCCAGCTCCAGAACCCTGCTTCATGACACTGGTGTGTGGCACACTCAGGGCCACAGGGCTTGCTCTGTCTTGCCCTGAGCTGGACCACCCTGGCCCGCCGCGGCGCCACCTTCCTACTGTGTGCTTCTGCACCCCTACTGCGTGCAGGGCAGTGCGGCTGGCGCAGGAACCACGGACGTCCTCCAGGGGTGGGGCTTTCCAAGGTAGAGGGCAGTGGAGGGCCCCGGGGCCAGCTTCTTTCTGAGCTCCACGCGATGATGCCAGGGGCCCAGGCTCCAGGTTCCAGGCAGGGGGTCAGGTGGCCCCCTGACCCAGGACGTTGCCTGTGCTCGGCTGTTAACCATGCCACCTCCCCAGCCCCAGCGCTGGCTGTGGCAGGTCCTCTCCGCCAGGCCCCTGAGGCCGCCGGGCCCGCCTGCCCTGCCCACCACAGCAAGGAGACCTGGGGAACAGGGACTGTGCTGTCAGAGACAGTCGGGCTGCACCCCGGCTGCTGCTCCTCAGAGGCCAGCGACGACCCCTGTGTGACCACCCACTGTCCCCTGGAGCAGAGCCACAGTGCAGGGGCCAGGCCCTTGGAGCAGTGACAGGGACACAAGGCCGGCCCTGCCCAGATTCAAGACAGCTGGGCTGACAAACACTGTGGGCGAGGGCACAGCTGGCACCTTGCTTCCCTGGTGTGGGGTTTCTGGAGATCAGGGCGCCGGGACCAGCCTGGCGACCCCAGACAAGGCGCTAACAGCCATGTTGAGGCCAGGAGGGGCAAGGGTGGCCAGTGGCCTCCCACAGAGTGCTGGGCCATCCCCAGGCACCCAGGGGCAGCCCTCGGAAGATGAGAGGAGAGGGAGGGGAGGGCTCAGGTGGAGGGCCTGCGGGCAGCAGGGAGATGATGACCAGTCTGCCCAGAGCCCAGGGTCCAGGCAGAATTCAGAGGCTCGGGCGAGAGCAGCCATCGGGGCCCAGCTTGCCACGGTGAGGAGGCAGGAACACCTGAAGCCAGACTCAGTCTCCCTGCTGACTGTCACCATCCTGTCCCTGGCCCTCAAGCCTCTCTAGGGACGCCCAAGGTCTCCTTGGGACAGGCCAGCGGGGCTCACGGCTGAAGGGAGGCCCAGCTTCCCAGGCGTCTTTCCCAGGGCCTCGGTCACGCACGGGCACTGCGCCCAGCTCCCCACAGCCCTTCCACCCCCAGCAGCTCCTGTGCTTCAGCCCGGAGTCGACCGGCCATAATGAAGACATCGTCACCTCTTTTTGCAATACTGGGCAGGTGCTCTGCCCCGAGCTGCACCGCAGCCCGTTTTAATTTCATTTTGAGAGAGGGTCTCACTAAGTTGCTGGCCTGGAACGTGGGGTCCTCCTGCTTCAGCCCCCGAGTCACGGAGCTCAAGGTGTCCCACCCGGCTTCCTTATTCGTTCACAGTGGACACACTCCCTAATGCTCCTGCTGAAGTGTGGGTGGCTCCGTCACCATGCTCTGTGACAAGCCTGTGAGCACCAGGGGGTGGGGTGGGGACAGAAAAACACTAGTTCTCACAAGTGTGAGGCCTTGTTCTGCCTGGGTGAGAAGTGCACCCCTCAAACACCTGTTAGCACCCAGCGACTGTGGATGTGACACACAGGCCCTGACCACGGGGGCTGTTGGGGGGCTCTGGGCAGGAGGAGGGCGGGCGTTCGCCCACAGCCAGGGGTCAGACCTGTGTCTCAGGGGATGGTGCACGCCTGGTTCACCTGGAAGTGCGCACACACACACACACGCAGGTGTGCCCCCAGGCCCCCTGGAAACAGCGGCCTGCTGTATCCATTCTGGACCAGCACACAGAGGCCGCCCTGGGAGGCTTGGTCAGGGCTGATGCCTGTCATGGAGTGGCCTGTCGGGCTGCAGAAACTGGCACTGGACAGGAGGCCTCACACTGTGGAGTCCTGCAGGGAGGCGGGGGGACTCTGAGGGAACTGCTGCTGGAATGTGACAGACCTCGTGGCCGGCAGGGGACCTCAGCCTCCACTGGGCAGTCCTGCAGGACTCTGATGGTCACTGGGGTGCCGCCCACCTCGGCTGCTCGTGTGTTTTTAGTGCTGAGTGGGGAGGGGAGAGGGACAGGTCCCTGTACCCAGCGTAGCGGCAGGTCCAGGAGGCTCTGGAGCACACCACCTTCGTGTCTCTTGAGGAGGACGATGGCGCCTTTGACAAAACAGGCAAGATCCAGTGTTCTTTCCGCAGGGGTCCCAGAGGAGAGCGAAGTCCAGCGGGTCTCCTGGGGCTTCCGGCATGGCCACTTCCCGCACGTACGCACACAGGTGTGCACACACACACGCACACTACACGGGAGCTCCTGGCAGGGCAGCAGCTGGTAGGCCCTGGGTCAGGTCTCCTGCAAACACCCTCAATGCTCCCGCGGTCACAGAGGTCATCCTGTAAGGGCAGGTACGCGTTCCTCCTTCCAAACCAAACGCCCTTCCTTGGCTCTCAGGAACCCCTGTGCCCCGCGAGGCCTGTGCCTGGTTCCTGGTTTGGGAGGAGCCTGGTGCTGAAGCGCAGAGGCTCAGCGGGCTCCTGGGCACTGTGTGCCAGTGCTGCTGCCCTGTTGGGAAGGACCTCGCTCTGGGTGGGGCAGTGTCTGAGGCTTCTCCCCAGGGTCAGCCTCTTGGGCCCCTCCTGGCCAGGTGGATCCTGTCCTGGCAGACAACATGGGCAGGTGGCTCACTGTCCCCTTTGTCACCAAGCTGTGTATGATGTCCACCCAGTGGCACTTCATAGAAACCCTGTCCCCGTCCTGGGCAGTGAGTTCCTGTCAAACATGGTCTTGGAGGGAAAGAGAAGAGAGGGACGTGAGGCACTGGCACCTCCTTTGGTTTCTCGCAGTGCTGGGGACAGAACCCAGGGCTTCTCACGAGCCAGGCAGGCACCCTGCCACCAACCCGTGCCCAGCCTTCCTTCTCATCCTGAAGGCAAAGAGACCCATCTCCCCAGGACCCAGGAAGACCCTGGAAACTGGGGATGGCTGCTTCAGGAGGCAGCTAACACCACGGGTGGCCTTAGAATTCTAGCAAGTTCTGTTCCAAGATGACCTGGAGTTGCTTGGCACAGCCTGGGGTTCCCTGCAGAGCCAGCCATCACACAGCTCAGGTCCCTGGGCCCCAGGTAAGAGACCCAGGTAAGGAGACATGCAGCCACCGCCTCAGGCAGAGCCCCTGGCCCCTGGTCCAAGCTCCTGCCTGGGGCTGTAGCCCCCCACACCGAGCTCTTCCTAAGCTGGGAATCCACCTCTACTGCTGCTCCTGAGACCAGGGTCACCAGGTCCACAGGGCCACAGAGCTGCCTGCAGGCCACAGTCCCAGCTAGGGAGGGGCCAGGGACACACAAACTCCAGGCAGTGCAGAGGGTAGGGAAGGACCTGGGTCATTGGCTGGACCCTGCTGTGTGTAGTTTGGAAGTTTCTGTCATGTGTGGCATCAGGAAGAGCACACAGGGACAGGTCCTGGCGCTGAGGGAGCCAACAGGAAATGCCAGGTGCACCTTTGCAATCTCCCCGCATTTCCAGGACCATCAGGTGCTAGGGCAAACAACTGAGGTTCTGAGAGCGTGAAGGTGCCCCAGCCGTGCCCGCCTGGCAGTCCCTCGAACTGTATTCTCTGGGGGCAACTCACCTGTGGGCTCTTCCTCCTACTGCACGAACCTTGCACCTGTGGGATGAGTCAGAGAGACCCAGGTGGCATGGAGGACGGGCAGGCACTCTAAAGACCCCAATGGTCCAGGCTCACAGCAGCCCCACCCTCTGCCCAGTCATTGCCCCAGGTCTTGCTCTGGGCAGGGAGTGGACTCCCAGGCCCCTGCTTTTGAGGGAAGATGCTCTTTCCGGGCACGTGTGTGTCCTGGCTCAGGGGCCCTGTGACAGCCTGCCTGGGCCAGCAGGGGGACTGTGGGCATGGAAAGTGTTTCGGGTGGCCACAACTGGGAACCCCTGGAAGCAGCTGCAAGGGTCTCTTCCATGGGGCCAGTACTGGGCTCCACCAACCGTCTCCCCTTCCTCTGCCCTCCTGGGCGAGCAGGCAGGGCCTCTACGTGGCCATCGGGGCAGTCCTGTGGCCTGCAGCTTCTGAGACTCCATCTCACCCTCGGGATCTCTCCTCCCGCAGCACAGGACCCAGCCAGCCAGCCTTGCCAGTGACTTGGTGGCCGCGGTCAGCCTTCCCAGAAATCAACCCCATCGCAGTCTCTAACTTGGAATCCGTCATTCCCCATGCAGCTGGGAGTGGCGGCTTCCCGGCTGCCCCTGGGGTTGGCCCTGTCAGGAACACGGCCCCTAAGAGATGGCCGGCCTCTCACCCACCTCCTGGGGGCTGGGTAAGGCTTTTAAATGAAACCCACATTTCCGAATTCTGGAAGTGGACAGCTGGGCCTGGTGCGCACCTGTATAGCTGCGACGGGGACACCTGGTTCTGCACAGGCAGCCTGTGGCCACAGCCACGATCACCATCACCAGCAGGATGGCAAGGGTGCTGACGACGGCCGCACTCCCCTCCTGTTGGGGACGCGCTGGGCTGTCTGTCACCATGGCTTCAGGTCCAATGAAGGTCTCTGTGAGGAGGACAGAAACAGCCATGGCTGGAGGGTCCCAGACGAGAGGGTCTTTTCATCCCCTAAGAGTGAGCCCTGCAGGGGAGTGCTCCCAGGGACCGGCACAGGGCGGTCAGCTGTTCCTTACAGTGGGGCTCCCCGGCAGGCCCAGCCCTGACACAGGGCCCTCGAGGGGCTTCTTAAATGGAGGTGAGATTCACATTCCATGGACCCTTCCACAGTGGGCGGGTCAGTACTGTCGAGTGCTCACGGCATGGGGCAGCAGCCTTCCAAGGAAACCTGGTGCCCACGGGTAGCCCCTCCTGCTTTCCCCTGTGCCCCACTCCTGGCCCCTCCACTCCCCTGACGGAGCACCGCCTGCTCTGGGTCCTTTCTGTGAAGGGACCATACCACGTGTGGCCTCTGCGGACCAGCTTTGGCCACACGGGCACGATGTCCAGGGCTCACCACATGCAGCCTGTGTCAGCACCTCATCCTTTTTACAGCTAAGTAACACTCCGTCATGTGATGGCCACGCAGTGTCCAGCCAGCCATCTCTGATGGGTGTTTGGGGCCCTGTGGCTGTTGTGAAGCGTGCTGGGTGTCCACAGGCACTTGCCTGAGTCCCTGTCCTGGGCAGATATGAAATGGAACCGCTGGCCACCAGTCTGCCTTCGTCAGCAGTGCACGAGGCCCTGCCCGCCGTCCTGGCCCGTCAGAGGGTGGTTCTCACAGGGAAGTCAGCAATGCCATCCAGGGGCGCTGGATACAGACGCCAATGTGTCTCCAACACCAGAGAACAATGCCCTCAACCACAGGTTGCCCTGAATGTGACTCAGGGTCACCTAGAAGCTTTGTAACACTATCTTAGTGGGGTGGCACACTCCTAAAATCCTAAAGACTAGAGAAGCTGAGCAGGAGGGTGGCAAGTTTGAAGCCAGCCTGGGCAACACCCTGTCTCACATTAAAAAATACAGTCTATAGTCCCAGCAGCTCAGGAGGCTGAGGCAGGAAGATCACGAGTTCAAAGCCAGTCTTAGCAACTTACCGAGTCCCTAAGCAACTCAGTGAGGCCCTGTCTCTAAATAAAATGCAAAATAGGGCTGGGGATGTGGCTCGGTGGCAAAGCGCCCCTGGGTTCAATGCTCAGGACTATAAACAAAACAAAACAAAAAAACATTGTCCTGCGGCCAGATGCCAGGGTCCGGGCTGGGCTCCAGGTGACCCACTGTGCAGCTGAATCTGAGCTTGCGAGAGCCCTGGGCTCCACCTGCCCGGGCTGCCTGGCAGAAGCTGTTGGTGCTGCCCTCATCCTGCTCCAGGGGGGCCCAGACGGTGCGCATGAGTCAAGGGGCTGCAGCCAGATTCTGAGGGAGGAAGGAGGAGCCTGCTGGGTGCTGGTGGTCAGGGCCGCTCCACCAGCTTGGGCCTGGGCAGCCCAGGCCCCACTCAGCGGCCTGCACTGCTCTGACATTCACCTGCGTTTCCACTTTCACTGAACCTGCAGGGTACGTAGCAGATCCTGTTGGTGGCACCCCTTTCCTGCAGCTGGCAGGGCCCACAGAGTCTAGGCTGCAGCATCTCCCACCTCCACCTTCTGTGTCCCATCTGACCGTGGTGACAGGGACACAGACTGGGAGAGCCTGCACCCCAAGCACAGGAGGACCCGGCCAGCAGCGAGGCCCAGCCCAATTCCCCGTGTGGGGGCTCATTCTTCTCAGGGACCTCAGGGGCAGGTGCCCGGGGCAGAGGGCTTGGGGCTGCACAGGGGTGGCTCCACCCTGGCCAGCTGCCGCCTAGTTTTGTGGCTTCTGAAGTGTCACACAGTCCTTTCGGAGCCTCAGTCCTGCTGGCCACGCAGCTCTGCAGGTGAAGCTGAAGCTGGGGAGGGCGGGGCAGCGTCCTCTGCTCTGAAACCGTGGGTTTCCCCGTCACCACCACCTGCCCTCACCTTCCTCTCAGCCACCTTTCTGACGCCACTGCAGGGTCCCCTGTAGGGCCTGCTCCAGTCCCCACAACCCCCCGCCCGGGCCTCACCTGTCCCCGTGAGGTTCTGGTGCAGAAGCGCATTCTCTATGCAGCAGCCGACGTTCACGCTGGGCGCCCAAGGGACCCTCAGGACGCTGACCACATCGTACAAGCCCCGCTGGTTCAGGGAGACCGTGTCGTTATGCAGGGCCTTGTCCAGCTGGCTGTTGTCCGTCTTGTTGATCCAGTACACGCTGGGCCTCGGGTAGCCGTCTGTAGACACGCAGGTGAAGGTGAGCTCCTGCTCTGCAGAGGGACGGCTGGGCGTGCTGACCACTGGCATGCTGTAGTTGGCTGCAGGGGAGGGAAGGGGGGTGAGGGAGGCCAGGTTCTGCACCTCAAGATGCGGAGGGTGCAGGTGCCAAGGGCCAGGGCTGGAGAAGGTGGCCCCTGTGGCCCACCCTGGTAGAGCGGCCAGATCAGGGCTGTGGTCTGAGCTGCCAGCACAGGCCTGCATGGACACCCAACTGGGGAGCCACTGAGCCTAGCAGGCAGTGTCCTGTACCCAGGGCCAGTTCAGACCCCTCATTGGATCTAATATTTCTCACAGGTGACACTGCCATCTCCTTGCTGAACTGTGCCCTGATGGTGGTTATCTTTAAAATTTCCTTGAATTCTGCTGGACAGAGTGGCACATGTCTATAATACCAGCAGTTTGGGGGGCTGAGACAGGAGGGTCATGAGTTCAAAACCAGCCTCAGCAACTTAGTGAGGCCCAAAGCAACTCAGTGAGACTGTCTCTAAATTTTATATACATATATAGAGAGTTCAGGGTTGTGGCCAGGGGTTAAGCACCCCTGGGTTCAACCCCCCAAATCCTTAAATTCTCATCTCATTTTGTGTTTTATAGCACTGTCTTCTAATTCATTTTGAAAAATCTAGCTCGAGCTGAAGAGTTCAAGGCAGCTGGCAAGACTGGGGGTTCTGTGAAACCAGGGGGTCTCAGGTTGCAGAGCTATCCTAAAACTGACCAAGTTTTCACCCACTGCCTCACCGGTGGGAGAAACCCAGTAACCAAGACAGGACTTTCTTCCCTGAAGGGAGCAGGCTGCTGGGCCAGGGCTGGGTTCTGGGAACACCTTCTCCAGGATGAGGCTGGGTGAGACCTGCGCTCTGCTTTGCAGCCTCACCTGCCACGTGCAGTGTGACCACGGCTTCCAAGATCCTTCCTAGCTCTAAGGATTTCCTAAACACCAGGCAGTTGAACTTCTGCTCGTCCTGGGGGGTGACATTGCGCAGGTGCAGGGAGAAGTCCCCCTGCTGCATGCTGTCCAGTGACAGGTGTGCCCTGTTCTTGTAGTGGCTGTCCTCGAGGCCTGTGGAGCTGTTCCCGGGGAGGTAGTAGGTCACCACTGCGTTTGACTCGCTGACTTGCCAGTAGACAAACAGGTCGTCTAGGTCGAAACGATCTGTTCCCGGGTAGACGCAGCTGAGTTTGACGTCACTGCCCACCATGGCCCTGACTTCCTCTGCTTGAATAACTGCAAGAGTTAAAAGATGAGATGGATATTCTGAGGGTGACTCCCAGCCCATGGAGTCACCCAGACTTCTGGGTTACAAGGCTCAGACACTGATCCTGACACATTTAAGCAGAAAAGGAATGTGTTGACAAGATCCACCCAGGAGGCAGCTCAGATGCTGGATGGTGAGCCACCTGACTCTGTTGTCCAAGGCCAATACCTGGCTCTGACAGGGCACAGCTGGCATGCAAGGCCACCACTGGGAGAAGCCAGGGAGGGTCCCTGGGCTGCTCTGCACTATTTTTAAAATCTGGCATGCAAAAGAGAACAATTTCTCGACATTATAAAGTCATTGTGCTCATGAGAAAAGTTCACGCGACATACAGAGGTACTTCCATTTGCACAATCACTTAACTGCCTGGCTTAGACTGGAAGGCTTGGTGGGGCCTCGGGTCTCTGCTGCAGGGCCACAACATTGCTTCTGGCTCTTTTCAAACCTCAGTAAGGCTGAATGGGACAGAGAGCCTGGGGGGACAAGAAGTCCCTGACTCAAAGGAACTACATTCTACCTATCCTGAGCATGAAATCAAAGAACTATGGCCTTTGGAAACGCAGTGTCCTCTATGGCCTTCTGTCCTGCACACCAGCCTAGGTGTGAGGCCCAGAGGACCCTGGCAGGAGGTGGTGAGGACCTCCTGAGGCCCTGGGTGTGAGGCTCTCACAGCTCTGCATGAGGTCTGGAGGCTGGGTAAGGTTTGGCTGGGTAAAGCACCCTGCATTAAGCACTGACTCACCAGCTTGCAGGCCACTGAGGAGGAGCAACAGCAGGCCAGGACTGGAACAGAAACAAGGGAAGGCAGGTGAGCTGCAGGTCTCCGCTTCTCCTTCCCAGGAGCAGGGGTCCGCCCACAGGAGGCCCTGGCTCCGTCACAGAAATGCGAATTCGCCGTCTGGAGAGGTCCTGGGCTTCCCTGCACGGGGAGCTCAGGGAGAGAGGCCTGGACCACACCTCCCCGCCCCGCAGAGCAAGACCTCAGGGCTTCCAGCCCAGACCCCCCAGACCACCATGGCAGTGAGTAAAGAAGGCTTGGGAGCCGCCGCAGGTCCAGGCTTCTGCCTCCGCCGCGGCCTTGCTGGGAACCACAAGAAACCGCCGAGGCCGTGCGGAGTGCCGCCGTCCCGGCTCCCACCGCCCCCTGCTGCGCGCCCCGCAGCACCCCTTCCCTGGTTTGGAACTGTTAACGCGGAGGGGGATCCCAGGTGTGTGGGGAGAGGCCGTGTCACTAAGCAGTGGGCACTCGCTGGCCTCCGAGGTGTCACAGGGTGTCACATCCTCCCTCCTTCTGGGAAATCAGCGGAGAAGGGCGGCTCGCGGTGCCCGCGCCGGGTGCGCCTCCCGCTCGGCGCGCAGCCTACTCGGTCCCTGCCTCCGCACGGCCGCCTGGCTCGCCCACGCCCCGCCCGCGCGCCGGTGCCCGCCGGCCCAAGCCGCCCCCTGCCGTCCACACCGCTGGTACCCGCGCTTCCCTCGGGGGCCTGCAGGTGAGCCCGCGAGCCCCGCGGGAGCCGCCCGGAGCTGGCGACGCGCGGGACCGCTGCCTTCGGGGCGCTGTCGGCCCCACTTCGGGCGGGGACACCGCGCCCTGCCGCGCTCCCTTCCCCGCACCGCAGGGCGCGGCCGTAGGCGGGCTCACCTCAGCCGCATGGTGGGCGCCGAGACCTGGGGCGCCGAGACCTCGGGCGCCGAGACCTGGGGCCGCGGAGACCGGCTCTAACTGCGTTCCCAGTTCCCAGGGCGCCGCGGAGGCTCTGAGCGCCAGCGCGCGGCCGCCTGGGTGCAGCCCTGGTCCCCGCCCCCGGCCCGGCCCTCCCGGACCGTGACCGCCCCCGGGAGGAGGCGGGGCGCGGCGGAGAGGAAGGTCGCCCTCTGGCTCCAGAAAGTTCATCTCTACCCAGGCCCGCGTTCCAGTCGGCCCGGTGCTGGACAGGGCCAGGTCCTCCAGGTCACGGGGACACGGGCCAGGGCTGTAGGTGCCCGGGGAAGTCCCTGGAGGGTCGCCGGGGACAGAGCGGTTGGGCCATAGGACACTGAGCTTTCCCCAACGCTGCCCAGACTGGTCCCCATCCCCGGCCCAGTGTCCTAGCCCCACCTTCCCTGAGGGTGAGTTATGAGAAGCCCCAGATCTGAGCCAGGGGCCAAAAGTAGGCTTCTCCAGGTGGACAGTAGGTGAACCACACCCGATGACTGTTTAGGACTGGACCAAAGGCAGGGAGGGCAGGCCTGAACTGACACCCCCTGCACACCCAGTTTGTTCCCCTAACCTTTGTGGGGTCTGATGGGCCCCCTGGTACAGCATCTTTGCATATGAGAGGCTCTGAGAAGCCCACTGCTTGGACCTGGGTAGACTTTGCTCTCCTGTGTTGGCCAGTGTTGTCTGGCACCTGGTCTGTGGAAGACTGTGCTGAGCTCTGGGCTGTGGTGGAGGCCCACTTGCTCCCTGCCCCCCACAACACACAGTACTGGGCCCACCTCTCTGCTGACTCAGTGCTCCTTGCTCCTTCCCCAGGCCAGGTTCAGAGGTACTGCCAGACTGGTGAGGAGGTGGGTCAGGAGGGGACAGGGTTCCCTCCCTGTAGGTGGCAGGTCTGGAGGTCCCGATCTCCTGGGAGCAGCCGAGGGTTGTAGCCTCTCTATTCAGTTCTGCCTCACCCCAGGCCTGCTGCCCAGGCTGATGGTGGAGCAGGGGCAGCCTTTGTGAAGGCAGAAAGCTGGGAGCCTGTCCCTGTGCCACTGGGCAAGGGGAGCTCCCGGAGCCCAGTCCCCATGCAGATTTCATTCATTCAACGAAGACCCGATGAGCACCCAGCACTGGCTAGGTTCTCAGAGAGCACGCGGTGAAGAAGGCTCTAGTCTCTGCCAGCTGGACGCGGACGTCCCCATGCAGCTGTGGGACAACCAAGTGAAGACAGCCAAGAGGTGAGTGCCGGTGGTGACGGAAGTTCCCGAGGAAAAGAGCTGGGACAGTGAGCATGTGGTCCCCGAGTCCCCAGAGTCGGGAGTGGAGTGGGCATTCAGAGGCACTTCTTCAGGCACTTCTTCTTCCTTCCCTTTGGGCAGGAAGCGCAGGGACTAGAGGACCCCTCCCATGTTCAAGGGTCCAATGAAGGGGTCTGCTCTTGGGGTGGGGATGGGGGCCAGAGAAGTGTCCTGAAGGAAAGGTGAATGTTGTCCCTGGACAGCAGGGTGCCCGCACAAACCAGATCGCGTGTCTCGGGATGGGTCCAGCTCCAGGAGCCAGGAACTGTGTCCAGTGTGGGCTGGAACCCATGTGGCCAGGGCCTCTTCAGGGGCACACGTTCACACACCCAGCATAGAGAGGGACATGATGTTGGTGGCCTCAGTCCCCTCCCCCGCCCCAGCTTGGCTCCAGCTGGCAGAAGACTGGGTTTGGGGAGAACCAGCCCAGCATCACTGGCCAGGTGAGCAGAGCGGTCAGTCGGGCTGGGCAGCTGGCACCACCCATGCCTTCTCCTGCCAGGTCAGACTGCTGCCACTCCCCTCCCCTTGGTTAGGTGAGTCCCTGAGGCCCACACAGGACTGTCTCTGATTGGGCCAGCCTGGGCTGGGTGCCCACCTCTGGGCCTATCACTGAGGCCCAGGGACCTGCACTGTACTGATTGGCTGATGCCTGGGTTGGGGCAACGCCCCTTCTAGCACTACCCAGATCCCCCTCCACCCTGCAGCTCTCCAAGCCAGGCCTGGGCGCTGTGCTGCCTCACGGCAATGGGGCAGTGGTAGAAGATGCTCGGGTGGCACAAGCATGGCTGGCAAGGGGGTAGGGGCTCGGGCTCACAGAGGTCTCAAAAACCACTTACTGCTGCTGGACCCACTGAACAGCAGAGACTCTGGATGGAGGGGCCTATTGTTCCTTGGGCACAGTAGGGAAGTGACACAGAATGCAGCTGGACTAGAGGGGGCACCATTGGGCAGCACCCGGGCAGCTGTGGGGGAGGGGAACCAAGACCAGAGATGGTAAGCTCACGACGGGTTGAAATCCCAGCCTTGGAACTGTGCATCACCAGGCAAGTTAGTCAGCCCCTCTGTGCCTGTGCTTCCCATCTGTGAAGTGCAGCTAATCACACCCTCGTGGCTCAGTGACCAGGTAATGCATGCGAGTACAGTTGTGCGACTGTCCTAAATTAATGCACACCCTATAGGCAAAGGGTTCCAAATAGGACTCTGAGATGAAGGAGAAATAGGAAACCCTTTGGGAGGCTTCCTTCCTGTGGCTGTGGCTCCCTCGACCAGGACTGCAGGCGGGCAGGGAAGCTTGGTGCTGGGGTGGGACAGGCCCAGGCCATCAGGACTGGGAACCAGAGGAACTGCATCCCTGCAGCCTGGATTTGAGGTTCCCGGGCAAGATATGGAATCGTCTGGATGCCCCAACCTGCCCCCTGAACCCCACCTGCACCCAGGGAGCAGCAGGCTCTGGGCCCCAAGTCCCACTGATGGGAGGCCTGCAGCAACCTAATTTCAGGTCTTTCCCCCACACGGGAAGCACAGTCCCCTGAGAGTCACAGCACAGTGTGCCTCTGACATCCCAGATGACACTCGGAACCTGATTCCGGGCTGGGGAAGCCCATCTTTTCTCTTGGGGGTCTGCTCATTTCCTGCGTCTGCTGCAAGGAGTCACCGCAGACTTGGGGGCTTAAAAACAGCAGGGGCGTCGTTTTTCCACAGTCCTGGAGGCCAAAGTCTGAGGTCACTGCTTCACCTGGAGGCTGAAGGGAGACGCCTCCCTGCCTCACCCCCTGGGGTGCCCCTTAGCTGAGCTGCAGCTCTGGAGTCTCTCTGCCTCTCTGGTCCACGGCCGTCCCCTCTGCATGTGGTCAAGACTGCCTCTGCCCCACTCAGATTGCAAATGGGCCCACCTGGGTAACCCAGGAGGCACGTCGACTCAGGCAGTGGGGTCCTTCCCTGCCGTGCGAGGTAACACCCACAGCTCCGGGAGTCGGTCACGGGCATCTTTTGGGGGGTGATTTACAGCCGACTCCAGGGATCGCGAATGGGGCCTTGGGGGAGGGTTAAAGTACACAGGAGGATCTCCAGGTGGGGACGATTCTGTGTGCACGTTTGAGAGTGCGGAGAGGACGAGGAGCGTGTCTGGAGACCTGAAGCCTGGCTCTCCTCCTTGCTCTAAAGCAGGTGGAGAGCAGGCCCTGGTTTTCTCTCTGCCCGTGCCACCAGTTACCTGGGTGGACGCAGCCGGGCCGCTACCCAGCCCTGCGCAGTGCTGTCATCCCCCACTGGGCAGCTGTGGTCACAGGCTCGTGTGCACAGCTCAGCCAGCTCTCGGGGTCATTGTGGGCTGCAGAGCCTAGGCTACCAGGAGGGGTCTGTCTGCCCCTGGCTGAGCCCAGCTCTGCTCTCCTGCGGTGTCTCCGGCCCTCTAGCCTGGTTCCATCGCCGCCCTCCCGAGTCAGCCCTGGACACGATACCAGTGTTGTCCATGTGCAGGGCTGTCCTCCTGGACGGAGAAAGTGCCCTGTTACACTGATCCAAGGGTGACCTCACTCTACTTCAAGTTGTTTGTAAGGATCTTCAACAGGTCCAGTTTGAACCCCCCTTTCTTCCTCAAAGCATTGTACAGACCACTGAAAGCGTCCCCAAGACCCAGTTGTGGTGCCCAGGACCATCTGACTCTGTTTAGTTGCTGTGTCTGGACTCAGGGGATGGGATGGTTCTAGCTACCTGGGAAACAGTCCTGTGAGATTCATCACTCGTGTGAGGCTGGGTCCAATCGATGCCCTCTGTTGGGTTAAACTCCTCTGGGATGGGCACTGCCCAGGGCCCTGGGGAATCCTGCTTCAGCAAGCAATGCCATCTGGGTTAGGAGCCCCAAGGTCACATACTTTGCAGGTAGATCTGGTGTGGGCCCGAGCACCCTTGGCTCCACTGGCTCTGGCTTTTCTACCAACTGGGAATGTTCTATACTGGGGTTCTCGGGGCAGCCTGATAGGTGAGTGATTCCAACCATCAAACCAACGAAAATCCCATCTACAGGTGTGCACAGGGTGGGCACCTGGTACCCAGGGGGCTTTGCTTACACACAGAACACCAAAATATGACCAGCAGTCCTCCAGTGACACATCTATTGAACTTCTCAGTGGGAACACTGTGCTCTCGGGTGCCCGGTCACATCAGGATCCCGTCCACCACACAGGGCACCTGGCTCCTCTCCCCAAACCCAGAAACGGAGCCCAGGAGAGCCTGCGACTCGAACCAAACAGGAGGTGGGTCTGGAGCATCACGGGACATCCAGAGCCAAGCAAGTGAGAGTGATTGGGGGAGAACACAGGTAGAAGAGGGGGTTCTAGGAGAGCCCTTCGTCATTGTATAATGGCTCATTTATAAAGAGGAAGTGCGTTCTGAGAGAAATACTTGAAATATTCTCGTAGGGGAAGAAAGCAGTTCTTCACGAGCGCAGATGGGCCCCGGGCAGGCAGCGTCCCTCGCTGTCCATCTTGAGCCAGCAGCAGGAGCTCCTCTTCAGAGGCCAGGGCCGAGTGCCTGCTGCCAGGGAGAGGGGCACAGTTACAGACCAGCACCTGCTCCCTGGGCGGGGCTCTCAGCTCTCCCCAGGACTCATGCCCTGGACTCATGCCCTGGGGGCCCGCCAGCTTCTGTGAGGAGCTGGTCACAGGCCAGGCAGGGTCCCTTTGGTCCAGCTGGTGGATCTCCTCTCAGTGTGAAGAGGGAGGAGAGACTGGGAGCCACCAGAGCAGATGCTGGCCATCCTGGGAGGAAAGGGCAGGACCCAGGGGCAAAGGT